CACAGAGATCCACCTGGCTCTGCCTCCCAAGTGCTGGGATTAAAGGCGTCGCCGCCGCCGCCGCCGCCGCCGCCGCCACCACCCGGCCTCATTTTCTTAATTGAAATGGTGGTGGTCAGTTTTCCTGAACTATTCCAGAGAACTATTCTCATTGCTTTAAGTATTATTATATTTTAACCCTCATAACAAGAGAGTTCCTTTGTTTCCCCACAACTTACTCTGATAGAACTCATTCCAGAAAACTTAACCAAGATTGGGTGAGCCAATCAGTCGTTCACCGTGAACCAGGAAGTAATTATTAGGACGTTTGGATGTGTTCAAGTGTGAAACTTACAAGTGGGGAAGGGAGGAGGGCTGTCTTTTGCTACGTAGAAATGGGAGATTAGGAAAAGCTAGAGCTCGTGGTACATGTCAAGAAGGCCCTTCAGAAGATCATGTGTTGCAGGTCTCTTCACATGCCGCCATCAGAGGACCGATGGTCTCAGATCTACCTGCGAGGTTTATTGGAAATATAAATTACTTGTCCCCAGCACCACCAAAAAGTAACCGAGCATCATTTTGTTATTAGTAACCCTGACTATGAGGATTGAAGCCCAGGGATTGAATTCTAACTAGATGCCTTTACCCTTTCCTGCTCCCGCCACCCAGACTTCAAAGGACGTTAGGACATGCATGTCTGTCAGGTGTGAAGCCGCTGCCTTCAAGAGTGGTTTAGCTGGAGACCGAACCGGAACAGGAAGGAGGGAAAACATTGCTGGAGAGCAAGGCTCAGACTGGAGTCAGGAGGCTGTGTTGAGAACAGGGCAAAGAAAGCAGGCAAGATCTGAGCAGTCAGAGGAGTTTGCATCTAAAGAAGAAATCAGTCACAAATGTTTATTCCATTTCATTACTGCACCGCAATGCTGGGATCAAACCCAGAGCCTCACAGATGCTGTGCAAACATATTCCCACAGAGCCGCTTCCCCAACCTGGGATCCTTCAGATTTTTAAAGTATTCCCTCTGACTCAGCAGCTCTGCTTCTGCGTGGATATACCCACCCATCTACAGAGATCTGTGGCTAGCACAGTGGTGTCATTCAAAGTCTGAATTAGTTTAAAAGAAAAGAAAACAAACAAACTAAAAATGTTTCAGATACCCTATCAAGCAAGCGGTGATTGTTTATTTGAACAATGCGTAAGTGATAAGATGCTATACAGCCATTAAAATGCAGTCACATTTGGGTTCTCCTATTTTAATATGAGAAGATCTCTAAGAGACTAAGCAGAAAAAGTTAAGAGCAGAATAGTTACAATCTGGAACGCTGTGAACGGCGTGCATGTCTCGTGGAGATGGAAATGGGATATGACAGGTTCCACGGTAAGAGGAAGACAGTCATTTCACCCTGTAGATCCATTATAGGGCCGGGTGTAGTGGCACACTCCTTTAGTCCCGGCACTCAGAATCAGTGGCAGGCAGATTTCTGAGTTCGAGGTCATCCTGGTCTACAGAGTAAGTTCCATGACAGCCAGGGCTACACAGAACCTTATCTCAAAAAAAAAAAAAAAAAAAAACAAACAAAAAAAAAAAAACAGAAGAAAAAAATCTACCACTATACCCTACCATTCCCTACCATTCTATGTCTAGTATCACTAAGAACTTGCCTGTAATGTGTCCTCAAGTTAAAAACTCCAAACACTATATACATGAGTACATATGATTAAAGCAGGTGCGTCTAACTGTCAGAATTATGTGCACCTGTTAAGTTTCAAGATGGCTTCTCACAGTGTCCCTCTTTATTCATTCGTGTGTGTTGTATTGAGTCCACATACATGTTCTTTCTTAAAGTCAATATTTAACTTGAGCCTGAGAATTTCTCTAGGACCGTAGGCTTTTATATAGGAAGGAACTTTGAAAACTAGTTTCCTCGTTTTTGATCAGATGACTGAAATCCAAATGGACAAGCTCAGGGCCAAGTACTCCTCATCCACAGAGCTGCTGGGGGAAGCCCGACTCCTCACTGACCCGAACGACTCAAGGCAGATTCCCCTTGAATTGTCCTTGTCCTTCCACCAACAGCAAGCTGATTCAGTTCTTGCAGAAGGTTCCCATCCTCAAAAGAGTAACTTTGAGAAATAGTTAATGCTGCAAAATTACAAAAAGCATTGACCCTCGCATGGTGTTTCATGCCTGTAATGTCAGTATTCTGGGGTGTAGGCAGGAAGATTAGGAATTCAAGGTCATCACGGGCTACATAAGACCCTGACTCAAAAATATAAAGATTTTATGTTCCGAGCCGGGCAGTGGTGGTGCACATTTTTAATCCCAGCACTCGGGAGGCAGAGGCAGGCGGATCTCTGTGAGTTCGAGACCAGCCTGGTCTACAAAGCAAGTTCCAGGAAAGGTGCAAAGCTACACAGAGAAACCCTGTCTCAAAAAACTTAAAAAAAAAAAAAAAAAAAAGATTTTATGTTCCAAATTTTCCTTGGACATTGTCACCTACAGTGTTATTAACATGTAGATTTTTACTTATCATGGTTGAAGGAAATACCATATTAAAGAAAATGGCTCTGAGGATAAGTTTGCCTCCTAAAATAGGAAAGAACATGTATAAAGGAGAAAAAAGTCTTTCCGACGTTGAGTTGTTCTTTGAGTTCTTGGCTCTTTGTGTGTATTTGTGTGTGAGGGGGTGTGTTTGGAGGTTCGTGTTGTGTGTGGAGGTGTTCACACACATTTATGCACATGTGTGGAAGGAAGCCAGAGGTGTGTGTCAGGTGTCATGTCTCAGAAGCTATCCACCATGTTTCTGAGACAGGGCTCTCTCAGTATGAGCTTGCCAATTAAGCTAGCTGTCCAGTTAATATAGGGTTCTGCCTGTCCCAGCCTTCCCAGGTTGGGTGTTGGGGAAAGAAATCAGGTCCTTATATTTGCAAAGCTACTACTTTATTGACTGATTGGACCATCCCTCTGACTTGTCAACAATATTTTAGAAGTTAACATTGTTACTGGCTTTTGATGGAGCTAGGCATTATCTAACTATACTGTGAGCTCCCTGGGTGCCAAAAATGGCCTCTTGTTCTCTGTCCTGGCTTAGCTGACTCACTGTGATGTACCTGTGAGGTACCTAATTCATCACTTCTCAAGTATTATTTTCTCCACATTGTTTTGTACTTCCAGAGAACCAATGCTTTGATGAAAGAAATGTAGTTGTAGCTGGGTATGGTGGCTTCCCCCTGTGATTTCAACATTAGGAGGCTGAGGCAGAGGATTGTTATGAGTTCAAAGCCACCTTGGGCTACATAGTGAGTTCCAAGCCAGCTTGGACTACAACTCAAAATAAAATAAAATAAAAGTAAAGAAGAAGGAATGAAAAAGAGGAGGAAGGGGAAGGAAAGGAGAGGCTGGAGGAGAGAATCTTTTTTTTTTTTTTTTTAATTGAAACAGGCTTATTATGCACTCTGGGCTAGCCTTCAGTGCTTAGAAATCCTCCTGCCTCAGCCTGCCGAGTGCTGTGTTTGCAGGTGTGTGCCACCATGCCTGGCAGAATATCGCACTTTTTAATTCGTCATTGTGATGGTGGTGTGTGTGTGTGTGTGTGTGTGTGTGTGTGTGTATGTGTATAGCGTGCAGGCACACGTGTGAAAGTCAGGAGACAACCTTAGAGAGTCTGCTCTCTCCTCCCATTGCCAGTTCCAGGGGATGAAACTCAGGTTGTCAGGCTTGGCAACTGCGTCTATGCGCTGAGCCACGTCACCAGCCCAGTGTATCACTTTTAAAAAAGGGACAGGGACATGGTACTGTCAGTCCCAGAGCATCACAGCAGCATCAGTGCGTGCGGTCTATGCTATAAAGCCATGACACCAAACCAGAGAGCTGTACGTGTTCCCAAAGGACGGGATTCAGGGGCGAAGTCTTTGACATAGTGAAGAAAGCGAGGCCAAGCTGGAGCCCCACAAACTGACAGAACCTGTTTGTCAGTGTGGACCACTTACCCAGCACTAGCTAGTCAAGTCCTAAGCTTGCCTGTGTTGGCTCTCCCTGTTTGCTGCCCCCAAAGCTGCACGAGAGATCGTCTGGCTGGAAAGAGAAGAGCGAGCCCGGCAGCACTATGAACGGCACCTGGAAGCCCGGAAGAAGAAGCTGGAGGACCAGCGGCTGAAGGAAGAGCGGAGGAGGGCTGCGGTGGAGGAGAAGCGAAGGCAGAGGCTGGAGGAGGACAAGGTGAGGACCTCTCTGTGGAGGGAGGTGCCCCGGCGCCCGCAGTCAGCGCTGGGTGCACACTTGACCCCCTCTGTGGAGGGAGGTGCCCCGGCTCCCGCAGTGCTGGGTGCACACTTGACCCCCTCTGTGG